CACTGAGAAATTAACATCAGGTCCCAGAGGCGTCTATATCAGAAGGTGATAGACTATCGATGGGTTCAGAGATTGGGGGAGTCTTAACTGGGTCATTTAAATGGTTTTAATTTAACAGAAAGACCACAATAATGACTAGTTATTTTGCATTTTCAATTGTTTTCAACATATCAGACCAACAACAAATAAATAAAAATCCAACATGTAAACATTATGATTTGATTAAAAGATCATGAACTGGTGTTTTTTAAAGGACTTGACCTCCAGATCTTATTGACGTTATTAAAACACGGATCAGTACAGATCCAGGGTTAGATCTTGGGTTTCGAAGTTCCAGGGAGACTCATGAAATGTGGAATATTGGACACACTTTTAGAAAAGGCTTTTGACTGTGTCATGGAAACTTACATTAAGTTATAAATTAAAGTAACAGTAAAATGATTTTTCCTTACAATGGCAGATTTGTGTGGGATCAATCTATGGAGACCAAGTGTTTTATTAGTTAAGATGAGCCTAAAATGTACATCTTCACTTTTTAAGTTTCCAAAACTCAAGTGCAGAATGTGAATGAACTTATAAGGTTTATACCACACAATGAAAAGATTCTATTCAAAGTCGACCCGTTACACGGACCCCCATCGCCGTGAAGTGCTTTGAAAGGTTAGTCATGGCCCACATCAAATCCACCCTCCCCGCCACCCTGGACCCCTACCAGTTTGCATACCAAGGTAACAGATCCACCGAGGATGCCATCTGTTCTGCTCTTCACCCAGCCCTCACCCACCTGGACACCAAAAACTCATACGTCAGAATGCTGTTCATAGACTTCAGTTCAGCATTCAACACCATCATCTCTCAGCAGCTGATCAGCAAACTGGACCAGCTGGGGCTCAGCACTTCCCTGTGCAACTGGCTGCTGGACTTCCTCAGCGAGAGGCCTCAGACAGTGCGGGTCGACGGCAGCACATCAAAAACCACCGTCATGAGCACTGGGGCCCCCCAAGGTTGTGTGCTCAGCCCCCTGCTCTTCACGCTGCTGACTCCATCCTTCAGCAGCAACCACATTGTGAAGTTCGCGGACAACACAACAGTGGTTGGCCTCATCTCCAACAACGATGAGACGCACTACAGGATGGAGGTCAGCCAACTGGCCACGTGGTGCAGAGGCAACAACCTCTTCCTGAACGTCGACAAGACCAAGGAGGTTGTTGTCGACTTCCGGAGAGTCCCCACTCCTAAACCCCCACTGACCATCGACGGTGCTGCTGTGGAGAGAGTGAGCAGCACCAAGTTCCTGGGGGTTCACATCAGTGAGGATCTCTCCTGGCCAACCAACACCACATCACTGGCCAAGAAGTCCCAGCAGCGCCTCTACTTCCTCCGCAAGCTGAAGAGAGCACGAGCCCCCCCATCCATCATGTGCTCCTTCTACAGAGGCACCATCGAGAGCATCCTGACCAGCTGCATCACTGTGTGGCTGCACTGCTGCCAACCGCAAGACCCTGCAGCGCACAGTGAAGGCTGCTGAACGGATTATCGGTGTCCCACTCCCCTCTCTTCTGGACCTCTACGATACCTGCCTCACCCGCAAAGCAACCAGCATTGTGCGTGACCCCACCCCCCCCTCACACAGCCTCTTCAGCCTCCTGCCATCGGGGAGATGGTACCACAGCCTGCGGGCTGGCTCCACCAGACAGGGAAACAGCTTCTTCCACCGAGCTGTCAGGAAGCTTAACTCTCTCCCCTCTCTTCCTTCCCTCTCCCGTTTGCCACCAAGAACTCTGGACTAATAACTCTGAAGCTAACTATTCAAAAGTACACTCAGTTTACTGCACATTGCACATATTGCACAAGTTCACTTTTTCTTTAAATTTTATTTTATTTTATTTTATTTAATTTTATTTATTTTACCATTTTGTACCTTTTGCACAATTTAGAATGTATTACTGTAAATATTGTTTATCTTATTTTTACCTCATTTTATTTTATCTATTTTACCTTATCTCTTTTTTACCTTATTTTGATTGTATTGCACCGAGGGACGGAGACAAACGCAATTTCGATTCCACTGTATGTCTGGCATATTTTGAAATTGACAATAAAGTTGACTTGAATCACATTTGATTTCCTGGAATCCATCCTGTGTCCATCCTTCAGAGGGAATAAGGATAATCCAGATATTTTGGATCAAAGGTTTCCAAATCCTGCTCAAAGTTTGACCAAAAGTTTCTGAAGGTTTGATCTAGATCAAAGTAAAAAATAAAAAAATAAAAAAAAAACTGGGTTACTTGAACTAATCGGATATCGGAGTGCTTTTGATTCTTCTGAGCAACCCATTTTTAAGATTTGATCAAATGTGATTGTAGAAATCAAACCAGTTACTTCTGAACTTCTGAGTCTGAGCCTTTCCTTAAGCTCAGCCTGGACAAACGGCTCTAAAGTTTGTGTCGGACATGAATGCCCCTCTCCTGGGTAACATTCTCTACTCTTACCTTACAGCACCTTCATTTACTAATTCTTATTGAATAAAAACCAACGATTCTGATTCTGATTCTTCTAGTAGCTGCTTTAGTTGAGAGAAGGAACAATGTTAGTCACATAAAGCAATGAATCAGAGAAATTAATGAGTTACTGATTGGTTCACTGTTGTTAAATGTATGTTTTGTCATTTTTCTTAATGGCCATGGCCTGATAAGAGATATCAAGTATTGTATTGGAATTTAAAACTCTGATATCATGACAATCCTTTTTAGCATCCTAACAAGCTTATCTGAGATGACATCATCATGTTGGCATTGTCATCGTGAGCTTGTTAGTATGCTGTAATTAGCATTTAGCCTCAAACAGTGCCGCTCCTGAGCAGCGCATCAAAAGGCATGCTGACATGTTTATAGATTCATAGTCTGTATTATCACAGCTGCCCTGTGTTCAGTTGATAATGTGCTCTTAACGGTTTATACAGAGTGATGGATGTTTAGTTGATGTTTTTGTATGACTCATATGTGCTGTGCATGACCTGTGATGACCCATGATCATGTTTATATTGTTATATATATATTTTTCCTAACTGTGAGATTATAGTGCCAAACATCACCCGGGACATGTTGAATAATGTGAGTTGTCCCTAACAAATACAAAACATTAGGTCATTGTAAAAAAAAAAAAAGGCTTTTAAAATGTGTTACATCACAGGGTTAGGTGGCTGCTGTAGCTTCATCTTATCTCAGCAGCACCCAATTCAAAACCTCTGAATGGGAGGACGTCAATGCTTATAATTTCAATCAAAAATAATCTTTCATCAGCTGAGAGTATAAGTATATAGCTTGGATTTGTTGATGGGCTCATTTGCATTTCTGATGGTTGAGTTCTTCTACCAGAGGTGGCTCAAGTACACACATTCTTTATTCAAGGTGAAGTACAGATACTTGTGATTTAAAAAAAAAATCTAATTAAGAACATGTAAAAACAGAAGTTAAAGTTCATCACATGGCAAGAACAGTAAGTGTAGGCACAGGCACAATCACTGGCACACAGACTCACACAGCCATCGTTTAGAAGTGAAGCTCAACTCACCCAATCAGGAAGCATGCAGCAACAACAATCAAACATACATAAACAGATACACACACACACACACACACACACACACGAAGGCTTTCATGAAACTAGGTTAGATGCTTATCAGATAAGTAATCAACTGCAAGAGAAGGAAGGGAATAAAAGTCTTAAGGTATTTTCAGGTCAGGTATTCAAGCAGTCCATGGAATCTGTTGAAGTTGTCGTTTTATTCCTGACAAACTGCAGTGAGACAGTTTGTTGGCTGATGGGTTTCAGCACTGGGCTTGAATACATGACGTTCTTGGATTGAGAACATCTCAGCACACAAAACGTTTCATAGGTTGCACTGCTCAGTGATGCTATCATTTTAGGACAAAAAACATGAGATAACACTGGAAAATGACCATAAATCTGTGACAATTTTATTTTTTAAGTTCCCAGAGAAATCTGATCTAAATGTGAATGTTGAAACCATGTCTTCCACTTTTGGACCAGGTTTAACCGTCTTTTTAACGATGGCCATAGACGGCTGAAACGGGCTCACTGGGTTTGCTCCAGTGTAAATCAGTTGGATGGGGAAAGTCTCTCTGCTCTGAATCTGCTGCTTGTCGTACGGCCGAGTATGGAGTTTGACTGTACTCCTTTTTAGGGAGTAATTCTCCACACTATATTTACAATGGGTATATATATGACTTTTTCTATAATAATATCCAGAACTTTGAACAGTGAAGTATTTTAACTCCATCACTTTCCAGCTCTGCCTCTCAGAATAAGCTTTGTTAAAACGTTTTCAGTCTTTCATCCTCTGTAAGCGCTCTGAGCGTCTTGTTAACAGAAGGCAGCTACATTCCTGAGCAGCCCGAGGGGGAAGTTCAGGTGACAGTCGACCTACTTTGCCTGCAGCTCTGTAAACTGTTGGCTTGTCTTTATCCACTTTCTCTTGACTCCACTTTCAGATTCTTATGCAACCTCCCACTCTGCCTCCCTGTTTTTCTCTTTTATCTTCTTCTCTTGTCATTTTGGGTTTACTTCACAGAGTCTCTGCTGCCCAGTGCACTTCTTTTTAAATGGAGGGAACATTTAGCTTTTCATTAGACAGCAGGTTTTCTGCTGAAATAAAGGCGCTCTTGTCCTCTTGCTGCCAAGCGTTCACCTTCATAATCGCTTTTAGTGCACACCCAGCTGAGAACATTACCTACACATCTTAACAAGCAGTTTTTTCTGCAGGTGCAAATGTTTTTGTGCCTGTTAAGCTGTCTTTACAGTCTTAAAGAAATGTGGTGCTTTCTCATTTTAATGTGATTCCAGTGTACAAACAGTCACATTTTCACGTGTGTGCACAACTGTTTATAGATTGTCTTTGATTATGTCACACCGTTGACGCTCTTATATTACATAACTGTCTTTTCACGTGTTAAGTGTATCTGTGTGTGTGTTTTCAGGATGTGCTAACCCTGAGGAGCTGACCACAGAGCGAGCCCACTCTGCTATGGAGAAGATGTTTGAGACTCTCAGAGGGCTGAGTCACACCAGAGACCACCTGAAGCAGCTCCGCTCCGTCTACACGGCCAGCGATGGAGTTCACCAGGTCTGAGACACACAAACACAGACTCTCAACACCAGTGCACCAAAACACATTTCATAAACTGTAAATTAGAAGTGGAAGTACACTTTAGTGCTAAAAACAGGCCTAACACACCTTAAACACACCTCAGATTATTTTTTTAACCCAGTTAAAGATTTAAAAAAAAAAATGTTTTAGGCTGATGTAGACACATGTCAGTCAATCATAGCCACGTCTGGACGCAGTTTCACTTAAAGCAGGTTTCCAGCTCCCCAAGGGTCTTCTGGATCTTTTAATGCAATTTTAATACAAAATAAAAGTATGCTCAATTCCTCCAAAATAAAAAAGTCATGTTTGTTTCAAAAATAAGTTTGATAAACCATCTTATATTCTAATAAGCCAATTTTTCAAAGCTAAATTAATTTTAGAAAATAATCAGCTGCATTCACATCGCCATGGTGACGGCTGATATGAATCTTAAAGTGACGTAAACCGGCCTACAGTGATTTGTTTTTGTTGTTGTCTTGTTTCTGTTTATTTCCTCAGTCGCTTAAAAACTCAACAATGCCTGGACTGTCTAATGATTTAAAGAGCTTCTACTGACGAGTACTGTTACTTGCGTACGCTAACAGTGGGATTTGAAAAATGGTGGTTGGTGGTACCGGATTGGCTCTTGTGTTCGACCAATCAACGTGCATTGACGTATGGACCAATCGCAGCAGTGCACTTATGTCACTCTAAGTCCCTCTGTGCTGGAAGGGTATAAATAGGAGATAAAAGGGTTCCTCTAAACGGGTTCATAGTCCCTGTGGTGCAGAATCAATAAAAAAGGTGGAATGTTCCAACAGTTCCTAGAACTATGAAAAAGTTCCTGCAGTCCGAAAACGGCTCATATGTATATTTGATTCTAAATAGATCCATAAGTTACTAAATACACATGATTTGTTGAAGAAGATTTGAAACTGGAGATTGAGACCATGAACAGGGAGCGTACCTATGTTTCCATATTTCTATGTTATCTAGTTTTGTTTGTCTGACTTAAAGAAATTGAAACAAGGGTTCGGCATCTATAAGCTCTGCTTCAGCCGAAACCCTTTTCAATCAGCCTATTTTATTTTTTCTTGTAATGATTGTGATTGTGACGATTTCTGCTGCTGCTGATCGAAATAAAATTACTCATTCATTCATTCATTCATTCATTCATTTATTCATTCATTCATTTACTATAAAGTGCTTCCAAAAAATCTTGTGGGAGGATAGGGCTTAAATTGAAGGGAAATGTAGGAACACAAGACCTAATTTTGAAAATGTCATAGAAATGTGGGAACATAGGGCTGTGGGACCATTGGGCTGTGGGAACATAGGGCTGACCCCCATGAACACAAGAGAAAAACGTTTCCTGAGGAGTAAACTCCTCTTTACAATCAGACCTATTGTGTCATACACAAGAGGCAGAATGTTAAGTTAATATTTTTCATCACTCACAGCCACTCTGCCTCATGTTTTAGTCACTAATTTTTATACTGTAGCCTTCATGGTAACACAGGCTCTGATTTAGCAGGAGACCTTTGACCCCTTATTTCTTTTGTCCCTGGTCAGTTTTGCGTCACGGCGGCAGACAGAAGGTGTTCACTGTGAAAGCCGCTTCGCAAACTGTCTGATTCTTCTTGGAGCTTATGTAACTCAGGAGAGTTTCTGTGTGTATCTGAAAGCTTTGTCCCCATCAAAAGGCTCTTACCTTTTCTCAGAGACAGCCTCGCCGCAGATGTCCTTCACTCTGATTGGGCGGCATTTCTCAGAGAGTTATTGGTCAGGGAGCATAAAGGTTAGTCGATTAACTTCAAGGCTCTGTTTGCCCTTTCTTCACTTTAGAGGTTGTTTTTTATTTTCTTCACCAAATACATGAAAGTTATGAAAGAAACTGGAAAAAAAAGAGAGGAAGAAATATTCTTGTAATAAGTACCAAGCTTCAACAAAAGATTCCTAGCCGCTGCCTCTGATGTCTCTTACTGTCTCTTGTGTTGATGGATGCCTTTGTGTTACCCAGCTTCACAGAAGTCTTTTGCCAAATCATAAAGCTGTGACTCACAAAGTTAACATTCAGAGGATCCAAGCTCTGCTTATAAAACAATAAAAACAAATAAATGTGTAGATTAAATGAAATTCATTTAGTTGCTGGTGATAATATATTTCTCCATTTTCATGACTTCAAACAGAAGCACCATAAATCAGCGAAATACAGTAATCCTTCATGACAGTCAAACTGTTGCAGCAATGTGTTTATTTGCTCTTTTGCAGAGAGCTAGAAGATCAAATTGACACCAGTCTATCAGTATGCTTTAGTCTAGTTTGTTTTAAAAAAATAAATATGATATTAATTAAAATACAACTTTAAATTAGATAGAGATTTCAAATTGTGCAAAAAATGACAATACAATACAAATAGATCCAAATATTCCCTGTTATATTTTCTTTGTTAATTTAAAGCTTAATCACGGCGCTTACTAACCTAAGGTTGACCTATTAGATTGATCATGTACTTGTTACGATGCTGGATGTCCATACTAAACATGGGCTAAGTTTCAGATCATGATGTAAAGATATGTCCTACCCTCAAATCCCACCATAGTTCCTCGATATGAATTTCACTTCAAGTCTCTATAAGCCGTTAAACTCACTGGAGAGCAGCACTTGCCTTGGCAGCCATGCAGCGTTCTGCCCGTCCGGATAGCTTCCAGAGAGCTGGTCAATCAGAAGAAAGTGGGTGTGTGGTGAGGGGGGCCTTAAAGAGACAGCAGCTAAAATGAACAGTTTCATTTAGAGGCTGAAATGAGCGCTCTTACTGACGCCAGTACAAGATAAATAAGAAGTTCTAGCTGCAAAGCTTCTTTAAAGGTTTCACAGACTGACATCATGAAAGGTGAACATGAGGCGAATATGGGTTCTTTTATTCAGCCCAAAGGAGCCCCTTCTCTGCAACACAGACTGAAATATAGTTTGGCACATTACTCTTGAAGAAATGTCAGTTTCCTTATTTCATCTGTAGTTTTGCATGTTGTTTTGTGCTAAGCTAGGCTAACCACCTGCAGTTCTGTTTAGCATACAGGGCCTTCTGTCCTATGTCACACAGTTTAGTGTGCCGAAAGTGAGTTCTTGTTGGCTCAGATTGGTTTGTAAGGTGAGGATGAATTATAAAAACTGACCTAAAATGTTGTTTATTAACCTCATATTTACAATAGCCATAAGATTAAACCTAGCATGTTGTAGCTGTTTGTCAGGGGTCTAAAGGCCCGACTCACTTTCACTTCTTTGCCTGTTTCTAAAGAAACGGAAAGTTAATTGGAGTCAGAAATTCCAACAAATTTTTTTTTTTAAAACAGCTCTTCAGAAACGAATGGGTGACACCACAGAGACTACGTCCATTCTTTATAGAGTGGATGATTTAAACATCAGTATTTTCTTTTCTCAGACAATCATGGGCTCACTGAAAACCTGCACATCCTGCAAATACTCGTTTGTCTGAACATGTTTTTAGAAAGTCACTGTAGCATCCAGACATGAGAGCTGTTTCAAACTCCTCTTTCTCTTCATGGAAATGAGGATATCATTATTTTTACAAAATGTTAAACGGTTACTTTCTTTTTATGGTTTTCATAAATGCAATCTGAATACCTAAAAGTGACTTTCTGTTCCGTCATGGAAGAAAAAAAGCCAAATCTGAATGATGTGTCTCTGTGATGGAAAAAGTTTTCATGCTGAATGTGATTACTCATTGTTACCCACATGCAGTTGAACGACAGCTTTATATAATGTCACCTTCATCATAATGTGCAGACATTGATCACCTGTACAGATGACTGTGCATGCATGTGAGCAGTAATGTATTTTTAAAGAAAAAGAACTGTCTGTTCCTGCTTGATGATAAAAAAATATTTCATATAGAGACAGAACAGTTTGTCATCATCATTGAGAAACATCAGAAATTCATCAGACCCTCCCAGCACGAGGCCGCTTCACCCGTCGAGTACATACCTGCACATCATATATTATTTTCTATTATTGAAGGCTTCCTGAAGTGCAACTCTCCTCGAATGGGTTTAAACATTGTTGGGAGGGTTTAACACAAATCAGAACCTCTTAAAAAAGACTGATCTCCATGAAGAGCTCAGCATTACTTGTAGCTTTAATATGTACACTTTTACTGTTTTAAAGGTCCCATATTAAGCTTTTTCTGGTTTTATATGCTCTTTAGTGTGTTTTCCAAGTGTCCTGTGCATGTTTAGGCACATCTATTTGCAAAAATTCAAAGTCGGAAATTTGAATCCAAATTCAAAATGGATACATTATTAATGGCTTTCATAGCTTGTCTGATAGCTTCATTCAGATTCTGTTTATTCTGACCATGATTAATATAATTAATCGAACCAGCAGACAGCAGCACTGGTATCCCTTTCACATTACTGTGAAAGAATGTGCTTTGTTGCAGAGCAGCATTGAATTTTCACATTTTCTCAGCACATGTCATGCTGAGAGTCGCTGAACACTGAACATTTTCAAGGACAAATTTGATTAATAAGGTCTGAGAGAAGGAGCCTGAACCAGGTGGAGTCTGATAATATCTGTCAATCTTCAGCGGAGAAGAGGAGCTGCAATTCTTGTTTATCTGAGAGACATTTAATAGTTGCAATTTTACTGAAGCCTTCTGGGTTGTGAAAAGAAGCAACCGGAGGGGAGGAGAGTTTCACAACCAAAGTAACAACAAAAGGATTTATCTGAGTCTGAAATTGCAGACAATCTATGTTGAAGCTTTGTAAGGCAGCTTTGGAAAAACCAGTAATACTAAAAAAAACATATTGAAGTAAAGAAAATGGCATTGCTGTTTGGGTGTGACTTACTTGTTTGCTTTTGCTTGTTTTGGACTACACTCAAGTACAACGAGTGCATGCAGGTAGACAGGAAGGTAAGCGATCCAATCATTTCATTCAGGCTGAACGTGCATTACAAAGATGTCTTATATAAACGCAGCTCTGCTCTATGAAAAATTGGCACTTACTTTATTGGCTTCATTGGCTTCTCTTTTTCTGTCTGGCACAGAAAAAGAGAAAGTGGGAGAGAAAAAAAACTGTACAGACTCCAATTGGTAAATCGCAGCACTACAGAAATCATTATAGCCTCCCTGGCAGGCTCTGCCTCTTAAAACATGATTTTATAAACACCACTTTCTTTTTTTTTCCTCTTTATTTTGTGTTCTCTAGATTCAGACATCAGCTCACTCCGACTTCACACGGCTTCTTTCTACTCTGGAAAGATAATGCTTAAAGTCCGTGTGAAAACATTTGAAAACATTCAAGTTCACACATGCAGTCCTCCTGGATAAGGTGGTCAAATTTCCAGGAGTGTATTTGATGTTAAAAGGAACTTATGAGGTGAAGCTGTGTGGAGGAAACACACCCATGTGTCTTTGCCCAAAGAGACACAACTAGTGGAGTCCAGGCATTACCCTACAAACACTTTGCACTAAAGTGAAGGTTTATAGTCTGAACAAGTGTAATGTGTTAACTAATATGTCTGGGTGCTGGGAAACTACTCAGGCAAGGGTGTGTACAGAGGGGTGGCATGGGCCCCACTTAAAATCTTATTGGCCACCCCATGTGCCACCCCAAAATCCTTGACTATTATTGGCTATTTGCACTGCGAGAGGCGTGACTTAGGAGGTACATATTTCTTGAGTCTTTGAAGAATTCAGTTAAGAAGATGTATATGTTTCCATTATCTGGTGTTTCTTAAAAGTTGATGTGATGAGTGCAAACAGAAGGGGTAAATAAATGCTCCTCATTAAGTCAGTGCCCCAGTTGGGCCACCCAGTCCAAAAAGTCTTGACACACCCCTTGTTGGAGCTATTTAATTATTGTTATAATTACTAATATTTGGGTGGTGTTGTTTATTTAATTATTCAACACATTTTCTTTATTTAGAATAGATTTTGGGTAATATTTTCTTTTTGCTAGTTGTTCGTTTAGTAAATTTAGTTTTGCATTAGTATTTTTGTTAGGTATTTGGGTAACACTGTGGGCACCAGAGGTTATTTAAGTAAGAGGCAGGTAGAGGACCAGCATGCACCTGGGTGGGCCTATGAGAGGCAGCAGGAGCCACAATTTTCTTTGTTCTTTTGTTTGCTTTCTTTTGAACCAAATAAACCACCAAAAAACCGCAGATCTCTTGCATGGACATTGGACTTCTTTTGCCTGCGTACATCACATCCCCCATGGTGCATCAGTGGTCATTTGATTATGTTTGATATTACTTTACTTTACTACACCCCTGTACCCAGGGTTAGACCCCTGTACGCAGGGCATCAAAAAAAAGTGGCTCTTAAACACGTTGGTATTGGAGGAAAAATTGTACAACCGACAACATGACAACTGAGATTTACTGTTGGCTCAGCACCACTGATGATAGTCAAGGACAACATTTACTGCTGTTTTTATTCACCTGTATGCACTGTGAGCATCTGTTGTTTTGACCACTCATGTCTCCATTAGAGAGACCATTTCTGCATCTAGCTCAGAGTGTGGACTTTTCAGCCCAGAGGAATCGGCACGTGGGTATCTGTAATAACTAAACGTTTTCTCACTAACTATAATTCAACTTCATCAACTTCTGCTTCTGACATCAGTGTTCAACTGAACTGTGGAAACTATGAATAGAAAATTCAGGATAAATTCATCAAAAGTACAAAAAACATTTCTCCTCAATGATGTATTTTATTTGTATGCCAAGATTTGATACCAAACAACCACATATTGTTCGTTTTGCACTTTATTCTCTGTACAGATTGAACAAAGATAACATGCTAATCTTGAACTTTAGAGGAGACTGCGGAACCATTTATAAAGAATTTCATGTTTTAAATAGAACATGAATGAGAACAGTACACGTGAGGATTAAAATTTGTCCATTTGTTGGCGATTGAAGAGACTTAAATGAGATGCATAGTACAACTTTTATTTGAACAAAGACAAAACTGTTTCCAAAGACATTCCAGTCCGGACAGTGCTCTGCTCCGTGTGTGTTTGATGCTGAAGTGTTTGACTTTTTTTTGGATAAAAAATTAGTTCAGCCATCTCCGTGCCAAAAAAATTAGAGTGAAAACTGATAGCCTACTCACATGTTTGGATGTGTGTGCGTATCCGTGTGTGCAGGTGAATTTTTTCCGCTTTGGCATTATCGTATGACTGATGATGTTGTTTTCATCCTGTGGGTGTTTGTTGTGCCCAATAAATCTGTTTGCTGTAAGCTTTTTTTCTTGATAGCAGATGAGAGTGGTGGTGTGTGTGTCACTGTTGTGTTTACACCTGCGATGCTGTCGGGTGTGTGTTTATGTGTGTGCGTGCAGGAGTGTTATTCAGCCAGAGGTGAATCACTAATGTGTTTACTCCAGGCTTCGTTTTTTCTGCAGCGCCTGACCCATGCAGCAGAGTCGAGTGGATTTAGGTAAATGTTAGTTTATATAATTCATGATTTGCACAAAATGGACGGCAGGATTTCCCCGGGTGTTTTTTTTGTCTCTGCTGCTCCAGGTTCAGAGGAGTGGGAGGCTGTGAGGGAAGTAAACATACCACTACTGATCCTCCATATTGCAGTGAGAGGACGCCTGTGGGCAGAAACACCTGGGTGCATCAGCAATGAGAATTAATCAAGTGTTTTAAATGCTGATAGAAACAGTTTTATAGATGAAGTCGTATTCAGATGTTCCTTTAACAACATCCAGATGAAATGGATATTGTGTCCCTTGCTCCCTCACATTCTACATTCTCTACAGCCTCCATGTTTCAGGTCAAATGTAAAGTAAGGAAAGTTTCCAGTGTTCCTGCTCCGTGAGATAACCAGCTGGACTATTTTAAGTCTCCGGCTATTCAGAGCACTCAGATACAGCTGAGCCGAGTCTTATCCAGGTCTTTATTGTTCTCTGAGACAGCAAACTTCCACCCCCTATAAAAATGAAAGTCTGTGTTGGGTTGTTGATCTGAAGCTTTGAGGTTTATAACGGAGTACATTCTGTCCCGGTGAGCTGTGCAGGAAGGGATGAGGATGAGTTACTGGCTTCTGTCAGAAAATCACATAAAGCAGGATAATCTTCACAGATGAACACCATTTTTATGATGTTTGAAGCGTTAATGCAGACAACAGAAGTAAAAAGCTAACGTTATGCTAAAGCTAACTACACCACGGTCGGATGATTGTGATGTCACTAGCGTTATGCTTCAGACGATCTCTGATAAACTAATCCACGTAGTTTAATAAATATTTTACTAACATAATATTCACCTTAACCTAAAGATTAAACCTACAGGAGACATCTCTGACTAGTGAGAGAGTTCCTGACCTCTGTGTCCGGCGTGATGACGTTTAATGTCCCCGACAAACACTGTAGTCACATTTAGCCACTTGTTAGCAACCGCCTTTTTAAAGACGTGTAAAAACTACAAAATTTACAAGTGGGGGTATTACCTAACGTAGTTTATGTGGTCTGACAAAACACCAACATCTCTTCAGCTTGTGTTAACCACAGACCTTATTTCAGGTGTCTAACCACAAACACATTCAAAATCCACATTGACTTTTAGACGTTAGACCCCATGGCGCTCAAATGCTAACTTACTTCAGGGTTTTAGGACTCATTCCTGTGGCGCTCTATTAAAACTGTTGTTCCTGTGTTTGCATTGGCAAAAGTTGTGGATGGTAGAAATAGAAGCGCTCCATTCTGTCCGTTGGTTTCTTTAATCTTTTGTTGAGGTGCCAAGCAGGCCGGAAGTGGACCTAAAAGTGGAGGAAACACTGCAACCCTTCGACTGATGGAAAGAACTGTTTCTTCTTTCAACAAAAGTACAAAATTCACCAAAATGACCTTTCTGAATTTCTCATCCACTGCAACGGAGACACTCCAACCAAACTCTGTGATTCGATTCTGAAAATGTTGGTGGGAATCTTCAACCGATATATGTTTGCTGTGAGGGTTAGATATGTTGTTGATGACCGAAATAATAACTCCTGGAGAACAACTGACATGCCGTCAGTCGGGGGTTTCTATCCCCAGCTCCAGCAGCTTCCTGTCTGATGTGTGCTCCTTTGGGTAAGATACTTAACCCCAATTTGCTCCCGCTGCTTCGTAGGCAGCGTATGTATGGGATTAGTTACTTCAATAGACACCTCTACCATCAGTGTGTGAATTGGTAGGTGTGGCCTGCGGTGTAAAAACACTTGGAGTAGTCAGAAAAGAGCTATACAATCTCAAAGTCCATTTACCATAAACGTCCCCATTGTTTGGATTGGAACACATCCTTTAGTTGATTTGATGTTTAGTCCCATCCAAAGTGTTGAACCGACTGAAGGACCTCATCAACCCTGGAGACATTTTACCGGCATGGCTAAAAATGAGGAACAACATCTCCACACAGAAAAAATGTCCTCTTGGTCTGACTGATCCTCGGACTTGACTGTGACCTTTTTTTAAAAGGAAACACTCTCTGAAAACAAAGTGCTGTTTTTAGCGACAATCAGCAGAGTGGGATGTTTTCATCCTGACTGCAGAAGTGTTTTAAACTCCTTTCAGCGAGTGACTCATAAGTCAGAGGTTTTGTTGGGTCAAACTGAGCTGTTTATAACTCTGCTGTCTCGCACACCCACAGCCATTCACACAAACATGCAGAGGCAGAAACAAAGCTCTCCAACAGCTCTTCATTCATGTTAATGCACAAACATATTCAAACACAGATTGTTCAACAACTGTCACATCATGAAATTAAACCATGAGTCAAAGAGTGGTTTTTTTTTAGCTGTGACTAACTGTGGAGTTTATGTTTCTATGTTTTTTTTCAGGCCACCTATCGTCCATTCCTGCGGCAGATCTTGGAAGAAGTATTCCATCCAGACAGACCTGAGTGTCCGGACATCGAGCACATGTCTGGCGGCCTCACAGACCTGCTCAAGACCGGCTTCAGCATGTTTATGAAGGTCAGACACACAGAGTCAAACACGTTTGGTCAGACACTGCTCACACACACACACACAGAATCAAACACGTTTGTGTGTAATGGGGTCAACTCTGTCACATCCTCCACACGCACTCTGTATCAACCACCTGCTGTGGACGATAAAGAGCCTTCTTCCCTTAACTCACTGCTTGAACTTGACCCAGTTTAAACATTTAATGTAACTGTAACTTACAGATTAAAAAAAACCTCTTGTCTCCTTTTGGTCATTATTATAAAGATGATTTAGCAAGTTCTGCTATAAAACAAAAAACCTGTTTCTGCACTCAGGATCTGTAATAAAAACACAGACAGGATCATATTTTATAGGACAATCAGCCTCCAATCTCCACATGAAGTTTCCACACCGACTGTTTCTTTTCACTTCACATTCAGAAGGCACAGTTTGCTTCACTTCATGCCCCCCCCCCCCCCCGGTGTTTCTACCCTGACTCCGTTTCAAAAGCAGAAAGTGGATAACCATTTGTGCTGTGTGTAACTGTTTATGAACCCTCAAAAAAATAAAATAATAATAATAATTGGGTCCAATCTGTAAACCTATGCCAATCAGAGCTGGGCACATGTCCGTAAATCTATGGAGCATTTATTATCAGTGTTTCATAGGTCTTTTGAAAAGCGATTATCAAAACCTTTAACTTCTGGTATACAGTATGTTAGGTTTACGTCACCTGAGCATGTACAATGGCGACATGGTTGTTGACAAGCCATGGTTAAATGGTCAGTTCCAAAGTGCAGAACAAAGCGCTATAGGAACAGCTTTGTCCCAGCAGCTATTATAGAGCGGAACAAGTCATAGTGTGTGTGTGTGTATCATGTCTTTCCTCTTTGCTGCTTGATGTGGTCATTGTAATTTCATGAAGGCTTTGCATGGAGGGACGGAGATAGCAGCCTGAGAGGTTGTTGTCATGCTTCTTGGTATTATTTATTCTGGTGTTCTCGGCTCTGTAGCTTTTACAGATCGACTTGTTTTATTGATTGTGATTGGAACCTGCGCACTTTATGCACCTCAGCACTTTGCACTTTGTGTGTTTTATGTTTTGTCTGTGTTGTATTGAGTGTCTCTCCCTGCAACCAAATCTACCTACGGGTACAAATAAAGTAACCTGAACCTGACCTGATGGTTGGCAACAACGGCAAAGAAGTTGTGGGAAGCTAAACCATGTCAACTGACAAGGCTCAGTAATGTTACCAGATTTTGTGAAAAAATATGCAATGTTCTACCCGGTGTTGTATGCTAACTGTTAGCATGTGGAGTATGTGTACGTCTATTCAACAGTTACCATGACGTCTATAGGCCGTGGCGAAATTGTTGAGATAGATTTGTAAGGTTCCAAAGTTATAAAGCTAACTCCAAGGAAAGAGATTTACAATTTATTTGTATGCTAAACTAAGAAACATTTTGGTTTAGATGATTTTCTGCATCCTGTAAACCTGCTAAACTAGAGACAACCATGACAACGATAACGATACAGCCTAACGTCTCAGTCTGTTATAAATAATAATCACAGAGATGTTCAATCTCCCCTCGGATTGTTTCTTTCCCATAAGGCAAGGCAAGTCTATTTCTATAGACCATTTCAACCAGAAGGCAGTTCAAAGTGCTTAACCATGAGACAGCTCATAATACCTACTTGCTGGACGATAGTGTAACTAGTTTGAAACTGTCCAATCAACAAAGCCAGCTCAGTGTCTGGCTCGCAGCACACTGTTTCTTGAAGCTCTCTCCAGCTTCTAAAAGCCTGTCTGATGTTTCATGTAGTCTGGCTTCTTGCTCAGTCACTCCCTCTTTTTCTCTTCTTAACTTCATCCATCACTATCCTCTCTTGCTCTTCTAAGTCTCAGTTGTTGTATGAAACAGTACAGAGACGTGCCAACTGGCTTCCTGTTAGCTGAAGGCTGCTGTGTGAACTAGTGCTGTACAGCCGCACACACTCTTCACAAGATGACCTCGGCCTACAGTGCTGAGAGCAGGCGACCAGGGCGTTATCTGTGGACATGGGAGAGACGACGTTCTCCCTCCTGAAAGTTGTTGTACTATTCGATGGACCTTTCAAACTACATATTGTAGTTTTAAATGTTAAATTAGCACACATCTTTAAAACGTCTTGTTGAGTTATAACTCAGAATGTTTTCCTCATAGTGGTTCAGGTACTTGAGGGGCTTAACAGGAACAGAAACACTGAAAGAGAAACTTAAAACTTTGATTCATATTAGTTAAACCCATATTTCAACTTTGTTTAAATACAGTTGGAAGTCCAGAAAATAACAATTGTTGGCACTAATTACACCCTTTGTATTATTAATAGTGTGCTTGATTGACCGTCGAGGGGATCAATCATCAGTCTAGCTTTTCTTTTTGTCTTTCTGAGTTTTTCTGAGCGTGTCACAGGGAGACACAAAGACATGGATTTGGGGGTTTTATTAATATTTTGACCACCGAGTGGTTTTCCTGTGTAGACTCTGTGGGTCACATATATCCACCGCAGAGCAGATCACTATCCTCGGTCTGAGTCTCCTACATCTGGACCTGTTTAAACTGATGATTACCCGAGGGGAGGAATTACACTTGGTTGTGTAACCGTGGCCTGGTTTTCCAAAAATTAAGAATTTTTGCCCCTAAAGCACAAACTCAGACAGACTGTAAACCTGGATGTGGAGCGCTCTATAGGAGCGAGTTGTAAACCCTTTATGCTATAAAACAAAATAATAAAAGTTCTATTTTTAACCACAGAGCCCCATGTGTGCTACACTCTCTGTTTCATTAAACTCACTGGACCTGCAGGCCTGGTTATGACTGTGTGTTACTTAAACTGTCACCTTAAACAGTCTGTGAGCACGCTGTGTGTGCCTGTGTGTGTGTTAGTGTCTGCTGGCCCATATTTAGTCTCTGTTTCCACAGATCCACAGTTGTTCAGGAGATCTGACTTCTGCACCTACAGAAGTTATAACTGAGAAAAGTTGAGACCACGTATTAAACTGCAATACATTTAGCAAGTACCAAATTCTTAATGAGTGCATTCTTACGAGAACAAACAAAACACCTTGGACTATGGGTTAATTAACAATAATCGAGACATAAATTAATTCAGTTTAGGTACATTTTATAGTTTTGGCCTGCCAATTGACCAGCTGAATCATCTCCATCTCCCCATCGTGAGCCACCAAATATAGGTTTTCAGTCCTAAAGTCACAGCATAAGAAAATAAATGCTATTTATGGACAGTGATTTCTGCCAACGTGGCCCAACCCTAGATGGTGTGTCACGTTTTAGAAAACATAGAGTTGGACCCAACTGCGATAACAGCAAAGAATTTCAATGAAATAAGGAAAACAAACGCTTACTTCTTCAAGTTCATCAAAAGCCCAACTGAAAAAATTCTGAAGGAGCAAACATAAGGAAAATCAACACAGTACGGGAACACAGGTAGGTAGACGTGTGAGCTGACACAGAAGGGAAGGAACACACAGGCTGTTTTCCAAACCGCCTACTATACTAGTAGTATGTATGTACAGATTTGGCCAAAACGCAGTATTGGCAGTGTGCCAACATACCCGCATGTCATACTGATTCACCGGGTTTGGCAAAGTGCAAAATAACCACCGACTGGCTGTCATACTTCAAACTACTGTGGAACACGGTATGCAGTGTGCAGTACATACCAAATCCTCTAAAGTAGTATGAAGTAGGAGGTTTCAAACAGCCAGAGACTAAATACAGGGGGCGATCACACAGCTGAGACTGAAAAGACATGGGTAAGAACAGTGAGAGCAATCAAAAGGGGAGGGAATCACACAAAGAGTAACACTAGACATGATACACAGAGGCAAGAAGTACAAAACAGGAAACACCAAGAAGAAGACCAAACTTTGGAATAGTACAATCAAAATACACACAAGGGAAACATGCAACACAAGGCAAGAAGGAGAAAACACTGAAATAAACAAAATGCAAAACGTATAACAGGAACTACTCATGACATGGTGGTTAAATGTGAAGAAAGCGTGCTTACAAAAAGGTTAATAAAGGTTAATAGGAGGTATGATAAGTGAAGTAACAAAGTGAGCTTAGTGCAGAAGACATTGATTTGTTGGCAGTGATTTTGAGGTCATACAAAAAAAAAAGTATTGATATAATTTATAAAATGATATAAACATTCACTATGTGATTAAGCAGCTCTAAAGTGTAAACAGGAAAACTTCACCCCGAGGCCACAGACCAGTTAAAAACCTCCGCTATGTCAGACATCCAACCTAAGACAAAGGAAGCGTGATAACTCTTTAACTTTATCGCTGTTTTATAGGATTTGACATTTTTAATTGAGTGTAAGAAGCCTGGGGGAAATGTTTTATCAGCAGGTCAAATGATGATGTTTTGATTTCCTCTCGCTTACACATAAGCAGCAGCACATTTCTCCCCTCATGTCTACACGCCTTCCTTCAACCCGCCCCTCTCTGTCCGCCCCCATGGCCGTACACATGGTCTGTAGTGTGTGTCTGCGTCGCACACACACATGCAGGTGCTGGTTCCACTCACACATGGAGCCGCTCGGGTCTGCGGTGAAGATGCCAGAGGAATCCGTCTACAGATAATAAATAAAAACATGAGCTGAATAAAGCAGAAAACATTTGTTCTCACTTCTTTTTTTTTTTTCAAACACATGTTGAATCATCTTGACACGCTTCCTCACAGCCGATCGGGACTTCACGTGTACTGCCACCCTCGCCTCAGGTCCGCCCCCTGCAGCTCTGATTGCTGGGTTGCCATTCAGAGGCTGAATACAAGCCCTGAAAGCCCCTCGCCAACCAATCGTAGACATCCATTACTCCCCAACAGCCAATCAGACGTTTCCCTGCTGTTCAAATTCACACTGTTCAGTTTAGCAGGTTTTTTGCTGTGTTGGCAAATGTATGAGTCTTAAGAGAGTGTGTGTCTGTACACCTGCTTACATGTCCACGTGTGAGCTGTCATAACACCAGTGTGATAAGACTCCACCATTAAGCTTTGTTTGTCGGAGCAGTGACCTAACTGCACTCCCATCAGCATCAACACAACCTACCAGCCCGAGCAGTGACTCAGCACCCAGAGAGAGGCACAGATGATAACATGGAGAGGAAATGATTAAGTGTTCCCTGCACTAAGTGGATGGAGTGGGTTGTTTATCAAAGTCTGAGCTATAATAAGAGACAGAATAAACACCTCAGACGGTCCTAAAAATAACTCTGACCAATCACCATCTCCTGTCCTGACTCCAGGTGAGCCGTCCTCATCCCAGCGATAACCCACTGCTCTTCCTCTTCCTGGTCGGCGGAGTCACGCCGTCTGAGCTTCGACTCATCAAAGAAGTCGTAACCACGCACAAACCAGGGACTCAGGTGGGTAAAAAATAACGAGGTAAAGTTCTGCACAATCATCACTGATATATTTGTTTAACTTCTAGAGTTCGACTCCTGTCCATTTCTTCAGTTGTTTAAGTTTTAATTGGCCCTACCTATGCAGATAAATAGAAGTAAAAACACCCATAATGCACTGGTCAGTAGAGCAGGTTAGACCTGCACGATCCTTCTCTCCTGCCCTTTGGGCTCAGTTCTATGTAATGGACTCAAAGTCCTTTTGCAGGTGAAATTCAAAAGGATGAGACATTTGTAGACATTTATATGCAAACGCGAGTTCTTATATAGCCTCTTCTCAGGTTCCACACAGTGCAAATATAATGCAAATGTTATCACAATTTTATCAAGTGAAGCCAGTCCAACTAAACATGAATTATTAACTAAAGGGGAAAAGGTAGGGTCATAATGTGGTGATATGCCTTTATGTCTCATTTTGATTCTTGCACGATTGCACTTCATTTGAACATAGTGTGGGTCTCTTTTAGCAGTGCTTCTATTGCTTTGGTTTTTTAAATTGCCTCCTCCTTTCAAGTATTAAAGCTTTGGTGCACTCTTGTAACGGGTGGTTAGCATTTCGCTCTCTGGAAAGTCATGGCATGCTGCTCGGCTAACCCAGAGCAGAGCTAACAGCTAACTGTGTTTCCATTCTGCAGTCAATGGTTGACTCTATGAGGAGTGTGATATGAAGAGATATAGATGAGGAGTGCTTCTGGCACATTTAGGTGACCCTTAGGGAGGGGTGGAGGGTATTTAAGGTGAACCGCCCCCCCTTCAGAGAGATTTCAAACTGGGTGAGCGGACTGACCTACATTCCCAGGTGGTTCAGATCACCATCTGATCATCACATGCATTAACAGTCGTTTGCACCATGAGATTTTCTGCCTCTTTGTGTTATTCCACACACAGTCTGCACATGCAGATGAGTGTGTTTGTGTGTGAGAGGAGGGTGAGGAGGCCGATGTGGGTTTGTCTTAATAAAAGGCTTTGAGGCAATGAAAGGCACGGCCAGGATAAAAGTCTTCATCTGTAATCAGGAAGTGCATAAAGAGCAGCTTATACAATAACCTGCTGGCCCACACACACACACTGACCTCAGCTCACAAACACACACACTGTACGACACACTGTAGAAAATGCATGACAGCCGACGTCTGTGGAGCAGACGAAAAAACTCAGCTTGGCTTTCGGGTAAAATTCTTCTGAAACGTTCTGACGCTGCCACCACAAACAGCCACTCTGCCAATTTTAGATGCCGACCAGAACTTAAGGCAACAATCTGCAGAAAAACAGAACTGCCCTGTTATACAACACAAGCGTTTCAGCTGGAAAGTATTTTAAAAAGAGCAAGCATCTGCAGCTATATGCAAATATTCTGTATATGTCAGAGTGTTTCCAGTCAACTAATGCCTACTGTACATTACAGAAGACTTCTGTCAGCCTAAAGTCTGCCATCTTCTCACACTGAAGTGCAGACTACAGCAGTAGAGTGGATATCCTGCAGAGTTAGGATACCCAGAAAAACACACAATGCAGCCAAAACAGAAATGATGCCTTTCAAACATTTAAGCAAGATGGAAGTGAAGCAAATATGTTTCTGTTTCATCCAGGAGAGGTGCTGCAAACATGAAAGGAATTGGTACATTTTAAGCTATTTTTGCAGTATTTAGTCATATTAGTTTAGACTTAAACTTTATGATGGTGAATTTGAAAATGTATTTTTCACTATCAGTTAAAAAATAATTTGAAGATTCGCAGAAACTCAAATCATAGCAAGCGTATTTGTCTGATTTTTTTCTCAAAATATCTCAATAGACTTATTAAAAGCCACACTCACCTGATAAGTCCTGATAAAAATTGTATTTTAAGAAATAAAAAGCAAAGAAAAATAGGCCTGAATTGTCCGTAACAGGTAGAAACATCTCCCAATGCAGCAAGATTAACTTTGGTGTCTAGAAATGAGATGGATTCACTCATTTATATTCACCTCATTTCAACACACTCAAGTCAAATTTAGACAAGAGAGAGTGAGAGGAAATTAAATGTGGGTCATTGTTTCATTTACAACAAGATAAAGGTGATGCCCTGAACTGAAGGAGACCTCTCATGATTTAAGTTTGAAAATCGTCTGCGCGGATTAATTGAAATGTGTTTTTAATGGCCCACATTAAGTGCAGCAATAAATCAGAAGTATGAAGTGTTGCAAGCAAGAAAAAAATCCATGACTATCATGACTAATTTATTTAGCTTTTCAGAAATATCCAATTGATTGCTTTCAATTCTCATCCTAAAATCCTCTCGAGTCAAACCTTATCCCTCTGTAGACTTAAAAGGTAAACGTTGAATGTTTGATCAAGCTTTTTTTCTACTCTACTCCAAACTTCCCTGCTCCAAATGTTCCTGTTTCCTGTTCCAATTTTTTCCAAAATAGGGTGAATAAAAAATGCATGCCTCATACTTAACCTCTGAGAGTGTTTTCTTAAACTCACCAGGATGGTCTTTGGTTTGTGTATCAACTTAGAAATCTGTTTTTGGGCCTAAAAAGAAAACCAATAGCATGGAGCAATAGCGTCCTGGGCGGAAGTGTTTCTTCAAATAAGGAAATATCAACCAGCTGCCAGATCAGCACATACATAAACCGAGTGACTCCAGTCTGCACATTACTCACCCTGCTGCTCTGTCTGCTTCATCTAGAGGTGTCAAGTTACACTCTGACACCTATTTTAACCTTAATGACCGTGTTGTGCCTCCTCTCTCCAGGTGCTGGTTTTGTCCACCAGATTACTGCGGCCGACCGATATCCCCGCACTGCTCTTCTCCTCGCAGAGACTGACGCCCGATATCGGCATCTGAAAAGACCGCCGACACGTGGACACACACACACGCAGGCTCACGTGGAAACACACGCCTAACACCACAAACGTTTTCTGCACCTCATCAGGTGTGAATGTCAAATCAGTAATGAGATTCAGTGCTGAAAGCTGAAACACAAAGGGGGAAACATTCCTGTCATGTTTATGTGAGTTTGTTCTGATGGATTTCATTCTGAAGTGTTAAAATAAAAAATATAAAAAAGTGGGTTTATTTTTAGGTGAGTGGGGAGAGTTGGATCCTTCCTCTGCAGCCGAACAGAAATCTGTGAAACTGCACAAGAAGTTTACAAGTTTTGTTTGCATCAAATGTTAATCTTCAATAAAATCTGTTAATTCTCAGACAGTGTTGTGAGGTTTTGTTTTTGTACATACATCAGATTCAGGCTGCATCTCAATAAACAACAGCTTTTTCAAATCAAACAATCTCGACCAGGCGACTGATTCAGCAGAATATTAGACCTCATCTCATTCCCTGCTAAAAAGTAAAGAGCTGGACAGTGTGGGTCCAGAAGTAAAAATCACATTAATTTCCAACAAAGCACATTTGATTATTAGCCATAATGTCATAACTATCAAAGGTAGATTCACCACCATTTATTTCCCCCCATGATTTGTCGGGAATAAACTACCCTCCCCATCTTCCTGGTGTAACATCTCTGATTGGTGGAGCCCGGTGTTACCATGGAAATGTTTACCATCTGGGGAACTTCAGCTGTTGGCATCTACCACTGACGTTCATGGAAGTTCAACTCACTTTAAAATCACAAACTACAACATATGACATTATATATTAACTATTTGAATTTATTTTTATTTTATTTTAAAGCAAAACAAACAAAAAAACATCATAGATCAATGGAAAAACAGAAAGTACATAATTACGACGGAGGATTAGGGCCATGTTAAAAAAAAAGAAAAAAAAAATCGAGATTAAAGTCCTAAATTTACGAGATTAAACTTGTAAATTTACCAGAATAAAGTTGTAAATTAACGAGTTCGAGACCAGCCTGCGCAAAATGATGAAAGTAGAACTCTTAGTCTTTTCCTCTGCAGACAGCTTCCTTCAAGTCAGTGTGGTTCTTTCTTCAGTTTCTTGCAGTATCTTTTCAGGGTGCTGATATTTTATGACAATGTGAAGATGATAATGTGCCAAAAGCATGTGTAGTTTCATATCTGCATAAGTAAAGCCCCAACACAACTATTTGTGTCTGTTATCAGTCTGCCTTGTTAAAGTGTCTCATGTGCAAAGACAGTTTGTGTCCTGTTCATCATTTTACAGATAAACAAGGTAAATTGAAGTGAAAACTTCTCTTGAACTGTTTTTACCGACTACACAAGGAAGTATCCTATTTCCTTATTAGTGAAACCTTTAGGACAAGAGGCTCCATGTTTGTCATTTGAGAACAGGATGCTGCTGCTCTTCTGATCTGATTGTTGACTAAAATAACAACTTTATTCTTTTATTCTTTAAAGACTTTAAGAGTTCTACTTTCATCATTTTCACGCAGGCTGGTCTCGAACTCATTAATTTACGAGATTATTCTCATAAATTAACGACTTTATTCTTGTAAATTTACGACTTTAATCTCAAAATTTAATTTTTTTTTTTTTTAACGTGGCCCTAATCCTCCATCGTTCATAATGATTAGTTAATGAACAAAATATACATTCTGAAAGAAATGTGCTGGAGGAGCCAAATAAACCCAGAGGGGCTCGTTGAGTGGCCCTCCTAAAGAGAAACATGTAACACAGAGACATATTATTAATGTAGTCCAAGCAAAAACAATGAAGCTAACAAGAACACATACTTAATAAGGTGTAAAAGAAAGCAAAACAAGAAAGAGACAAATTAAAGAAGAGGGGAAAAAGGAAAATAAGCTCTCATGGCAGAGAAGGATTATGATGGCGCATTGGTTAATTGCTGTAAACTACAATCTCTCACAACAGTATAAACATTATAATATAGATTAATGTAAAAAGAAGGTCCGTGTACTTTCAGAAAGAAGCGGGTTTAACTATTGTTTGTTGGGTCTCGTTGGAATCTTACGTCCTAGTTGTGCAGTCGTAATGACGGTCGGAAAAAAAAACATGGACACTAGTATGGTAAAGGTCGTAGTGAGGTTGTTTTTCGGTAGCTGATGTTTAATAATCATAAGCAGGATGCACAGAGCTCCTTTGTGCTTCAGTGGCAGAATGAAGAAGGTATGAGGTATGTAGTTGATATTCTAATTTGTTTATAATCTTAAATAACGTTATGATAAGATAATAACAGCTAAGGTCAGAGGTTGTCCTTTTACACATACACTAAAAATCTAGAATGAGGTCCCACATTATATCAGGACAACTACCTCAGTGATGCATTTCAAGCAGGCACACATGGACATCACCTGATGAATGGACCAACATGTAACCACTGATTAAACTCATTTATGTTCTTTCAGTCATTTTAACTGAGTCAGGCCTGTTTGACTGTAACTTCTGTCATGTTACTTTTAATATTTTCCTGTATAAGAAATTCAATTAAATGGAAAATTAGTGAAAAATATCTTCTAAGTTTAAAAAATGGGGGTCAGCCCTATGTTCCCACATTTCTAGGACATTTTCAAAATTTGGTCTTGTGTTCCTACATTTCCCTTCAATTTAAGCCCTATCCTCCCACAAGATTTTTTGGAAGAACTTTATTTCCAGAGGGCTGGAAAGTGACTCCAAGCATCCCAGAAGCACCCCCTCTCTATGCCTAGTCAATGCGAGGCCTTGGGCTACTTAGTTTAGTTTGTTTATTAAAAAGGACAATGTGCACTTACATTAAATGTTGCAATAAACAAAGAGATGGGCGCACCAGATTTATCTAAAAGCTACACTCCATCTGTAGTCCATTGCTACTGGATAATAGGTTGGGTGTAATTGGCTACCAAATTGGGAAAAAGGGGGATAAAATCTGATACAAATTTATGAAAAAGGAAATGTGGGAACATAGGTACGCTCCCAAAAAATGTTAGTACCATGACTAACCCATTTCATGCCCTTGTTGATAATCTAGCGATATTTTTTAAAAATCTGAAATAAATTTCTTTATTAAACAATGTTTATGTTTCAACCATTTTTTGTATCCTATTGAGCTGCTGGACGCCGAGTTTCACTGAGCTGCTGAGTTCAGAACCAGTTTCATTTTTATCCAAAACCTCTGAAACAACATCAACTTGGTCAGACTTTCTCACCTTTCAGAATTCAAAGCTTGATCCGAAAGGCAGCAAGGTTTAGAGGAAAACGTTACCTGGACGACCAAGAACCTACACAGCCTCCAATTTCATACTGATCTATATCTCAGAGTTTGTATTACTGCCTTCACATGAATAACAGTTCATGTTGGGGGACTTCTCCTCTCAGTTTGATCAGACTTCTGTTCTCATGCAAGCAACCAAATGTCACTGCTTTATAAACTGTTTGCCTGCCCTCTTGCCTGTTAGTCGATTCCAGCAGGCTGTGTTAAAAGCACGCCGTGTGTGTGAACTCATTACAAGAGAAAGTGTGCACAGCAGATGATGGTGTGCTGTTGTGGAGCAGATAATACATGCACTCTGTTAGAGACCATTTACACCTGCCCACATCATATGGAGAGAGGAGCAGAGTAATTAACACCCAGTTTCACACCGTCTGCCTGGGCCCATAATCTGCTCACACCTACAGCTCACCTTACACACACACAGAAACACACATACACTGTTTATTCTCTCCAACATGACTGAGCTAAAGAGCTCAGTCATTTCTCCACCTTCACACCTGAATCCACCGGGAATAACCATAGTCCTACATTTTTCTAACATAGAGAGACCGACGGCGTTTTATTCGGCTATCTATTTTCTGCTTCCTTGTCTTTGTATCATTAGAAACCTGGTAGTATTTTTGAATGGTCGTGCATCCCGCCCTCATTTTCCCCTGAGATGGGAAAACTTTGTATTTCTAAGTCTGAAAAGGAGCTTCCAGTGACGCAAAAATACGATTTTTGTGTCACTGGAAGCTGTTGTGGTTAGCGGGGTGAAACTACAACTCTAGTTCCTCATATTTTCGACCACTGAAGCTACAGACCAATCACAGATCAGTGGGTGGGAACTCACTCCCAGAATCGAAACTTAACGTCCGCTATATTGCTTGGAAGCTATGCTAACAGGCTCTATGGAGAAAGCTGATAATGGTGAAAAAATATAAATATAGCCCCAAGACGGCTGCTGCCAACAGGCCGGGCTTGTGCTTTGGCTGCGGCGGCCAGCCAAAGCACAAGACCGGCCTGTTGGCAGCAACTGTCTCGTGACTATATTGCTATATTGCCAGGACAAGGAGCCGGGGCCGGCTTGAGCTGGGGCGGACTGGTAGTGTCGGTGCTCTCACTGTTTGCCTGTGGACACAGACATAGAGTCTGTTTTCTGACAGGAATTTCAAAGATCAATTCTGGAAGAAATCTCTGAATCAGTTGAGGAAATGGTCTCATGTGTTGAAGTAAATATGTCTGTAAATGTTGTTATTACTATATTTCTACTGCTATACTTTATATTTTGGAGAAACTGTAATGATCGAATTTCCCTCTGGGATTAATAAAGTATTTCTGATTCTGAACTAGAGGACCTTAGTGGGAGTTGCCTGCGGCGCTGTGCATTCTGGGATGAGCCAAAAAGACACTTTCTGCCTTTTATCGGCCAAGAAGGCACCAACTTCAAAATGTAGTTCACATTTCTACTACATATATGACCCAATGTCAATACAGATTCATGTTTCAATGGGTGAAGTATCCCTTTAAACAAAAACATTACGAGTGTTCGATAAATGAAACAAAACAAATTTAAACCAAAAACATCTAGGCTTTAAAGCAACAAGATGTAACTTTTCCAGCGATCCCATAGTACACAAACTTTCATGAGGGAGAATGGCGTCTCACTCATGTCCACAGAGCGCCCCAGTCGCCTAATTTGAGCACTCTGTAACTTTGGCAGTAGGCCAAAGTCCTCTAGCGAGAAGTGCGAAACAGCTTCACAGCCCTAGTTCACACAGCAGCCTTCAGCTAATAGGAAGCCATTTAGCCCTTCTCTGTACTGTTTGATAAATGGCTGAGGCTGAGAGACAGAAGAGTCCAGTGATGGATGAAGCTAAGAGAAAAAGAGAGTGAGAAGCCAGCCTAGAGGAAATATTGTAGAGGCTTTTACATGTTGGTGAGAGCTTCAAGAAACAGGCATCAAGTCCCACGTCGAGCTGGTTATGATGCTGTTGGATGGTTGCACATGGGTTACACTACTTACCAGTGAGTAGAATTACAGGAATACAAAAGTACAAATAAAACATATGGATGTATGTTGTCTAAAGGCTTCCATGTCAGACAGACCTCTGCCTTTAAGGTTTGCCTTTTTTTTGTCATCAATGTCAATAATCAAACTGGAAAATGTCCAAATAAATCTTAGAATATGTGGTTGGGAAATGTTGGAATAGGCTTAGTGTTTTCTCATCACTCCTCAAGTTTCTTTATGTTGAATTTATCTGAAGGGAGTGATGAGATGGTAGATGCCAAACTCTAACTCTGTTCTTCTGCTGTGATAAATATTTAAGACCTGAGGTGTCTGAGTAAAGAGAGAGGAGCTGCAGACTGATAATCCTGTGTTTTCATGCTCTTCTGACACTGAAACAGGATATTCAGCTTTCACTGATTAGGCTCTGGGTTGTCAATAAACTGATCTCCAACAAAAAACACACGCTTCTGCAAGCTTTATTAGAAAAGTGGTTAATAAGATTTTCTCTGAATTTTCTTGGAGCATGCAATTCTCAGAAGAATTCCTATTTTTTTTAAAACGCTGTCGACTCAGGCTGTTTTTTTTTTGTTAAATTGATTTTCTGGGGTCAGAGACTGCATCGAGTGATTCACACTGCGGTCTGATCTGAAAATCAGAGAGGGCAGCTGCAGAGTCATACTTCTGTTTCCAATGTGATTCATGTCTTCTGTTATCAAAGCTTTGTTATGAGACCTGATGGATTAAGGGGTCAGACTACCTTTTTATCTGAGTCATCACCTGAACAGCAGCAGAGACTTCACATGGACTCATAAAGGGAGTTTTCACAATTTACTGTGTGCATGTTTCTGCTGCAAACACACTTTGGGCGGCTGTGGCTCAGTTGGTAGAGACGTCGTCCCTCAACTTTTTGCGGTGGTCTGCTGGGGAGGAGGGAGCACAGAGAGAGACAGGAAGAGACTGAACAGACTGGTCAGGAGACATCCATCATGGACAACCCCTCTCACCCCCTACATGACACTGTGGGGGCCCTGAGCAGCTCCTTCAGCAGCAGACTGAGACACCCTCCCTGCAAGACAGCGCGCTACCGCAGGTCGTTCATCCCATCTGCAGTCAGACTGTTTAATCAGACTCTTTAACAGCATCACCACCTCATGACTCACACTTATCTAATTATTATCTAATAATGCAACACACTGTGTGTGTTTTTAATAACAATAACTCTTTCCACAAGTGGAAGTATACATACCTTGTATTATTCTATTATTGTCTTTTTTCTCCCTTTATTTAACTGATGTACATATGTTTGATTTTTAACTTCTTGTTATTTTAGATAATTATATTCCTGTTTCTTGAGCTGAGTGTTCGATTCCCAGCTCCTGCAGCAACATGTATAACGTGTCCTTGGGCAAGACACTTAACCGCACATTGCTTCGTCTGTGGTATGAATGTGTCTGAATGGGATTAGTTACTTCTGATGGTCACTTTATATAACAACCTCTACCATCAGTGTGTGAATGTGTCAGTGTGACCTGCGGTGTAAAAAGCGCTTTGAGTAGTCAGAAGACTAGAAAAGCACTGTACAAGCTCAAGCCTATTTACCATCTAATTAAATGATTAACCAGAGACATTTTTCAAATTCAACATAATTTTATTTTGAACAAAAAAATGAATTTATCACAAATAAATAACAACACAACCTTTGGATTAATCCTTTTTTTTTAAAGTGCGTCAGTGATAAACCGCCACATGCTACATACTGTGTCTTCACAACCGTTCTAAACACACATTTAGACTCAATACCCACACACACCTGCACAGAGCCTCGACTCATGTGACTGATATAGTAATACCAGCGTTAAGCGGTGCCAATGCATTCTGAATAAAAGAATGACACAATGGCAAGCTAAAAATACGCAGCAAAAGTCCTTCAGAGCTGCTGTTGCTGGGAGATTGACAGTTTGTGATTTTTATGCTCACACAGGCCCGAGCTTCAGCGCACCGCCTGAACCTCCTCCCTGATCCTCCTCGCTCATGATACCAGACATGACCTGCCGGTTAGAGGTCATTTCCTCTGTACTGTTCACACCTGTCCTCCTCAGACAGAGCGCTGCAGGACGTAAGCGGAGAAGTCTCCTCTGTCCTTTCTCCTTCACTGCTTTCTTTCTTCATCTCTGGCCACTCTGGACCACGTTCAGATTCTACTCCCTCACACCGAGGTGACAGTCCGGACTTTGGCCGACAGTGCCTGCTTGAACCGCCTCTTCAGGTCCTGCATGTTTGGAGACTTCGGTCGGGGGATGAGTGGGGAGCGTCTCTTCTCCGTGGCAGTGCTGGCAGAGTTTGCGTGCGAGGAGGAAGAGTTGGAGGTGGGAGGAGGCGGCTGCTTGGCGAGCTGGCAGCACAGCCGGTGGAAAGCGTGATGCACCTGGCTGTAGTCCTCGCTGGCGGATACTTCGTAGAAAGAGCAACCGAGCGTCCCCGCCAACAGGGGGCCCTGCTGGGAGTCCACCCGCCTCAGGTGCAGAAGGTCAGACTTGTTGGCGAGCAGGATCACGGGGGGCATGTTGGTGCCGCCCGCGCGGACCACCAGCTGATGCAACTGCTCGATCAGATCAAAGCTGCGTCTGTCGGTCACCGAGTAAACCAGCACCACGGCGTCCGCCCACTGGATGGAGCAGGCGACATGATCGGGGAGGCTGACGCAGTTATCTGTCATCTGAGGGGGAGAGGTGAGAAAGAGACTGATTAAAACCAAAGCAAACATAGAAATTATTTAGTCACTGGATTTAGAAAGGTTTCCAAAATGATCGACAATTTGATTCCATGTTTTAAAACTTTATAATCTGTTATTTAAATGATCAACAGTTCAAAAGTACAGAGTAAAAACTGTTGAACTGGTATTATGACAACTCTAGGATGTAGCACTAATTTACAACTTTTTCTGCCCTGGACTAAACATTTCATCAGGTTTCAGACCCGATTAAACGCTCCCTGAGTCAGTATGTGTGTGTGAGTCTGTGTGTGTGTGTGTGTGTGTGTGTGTGCTCTTTAGTAATAGCAGCAGTGCTGACTGATGCAGACTGCAGCTATTATGTTTCTCCTCCTGAAAACAGAGGTGTGGGTGACAGAGGAGTCTGGATCAGGGCTCTGGCCTCAGACATCCATTAGCCTAAACGGGAGATTAGACATCCAGACTGAAGGGCTGATTCAGGAGCACACACACACACACAGACACAGTCTGTGGGTTTGGACTACTTCCAAGTCAGGAGAGGCTCAAACAGCCAGACTATGAATTGTGTTCTCATAATCATGGATTTATAAACACATTTTATGTGTAACTCTGGTAATATAAACTATCTTATGTCTTTATCAGAGAAAAGGTGAGTGAAACAGAATCTTACCTCTACACCAGGAGTGTCCTGGACCTGAATGGTCACCTGCTCTGAATCCACCTGGACTTCTCTGGAGTACAGATTACCTTCACACACAGAAGACAAAAGGACTATTAACACCAAGTTGTTGTTTTTATCTTAGAGGGTGCATTTAGTCTATGTGCTTCTTAAAAATATAACTTCTAATTTACTCACCAGCATTTCTCTCATAATCTCCAATGAATCGCCTCGTTAGGAATCTCACCACGAGCGCTAAAAAAAGACAAAGGATGAGACTTTAGACATTGATGAGACAGAAGATTAAAACAAACATTAAAGTCTTCTAACTATAAACCAGGTTTTTTAAAATCATTTCTTACCTGTTTTGCCCACTCCGCTGCCTCCGATCACAGCCATCTTAATGACCCGGTTGGGTGCAGAATATTCCGGTGTGGGGCACTCCGCGATGGTCGTCATGTTCTGGATGAGACGCATATTTGTTCCCCGGTTTAGCAATTCCGTCCAATAAGATGTAGAAAAAACAGATGACTTTCTTGTCTTCAAAGTAATAATCCCTTTTCTCAGCTCGGAGATGAGATAGATAAATGCGCAATTCAGCTGAAATCACGGAAAGCTGTGAACTCACTGAGTGAATGCTGGAGAAGAGGAGCGCACAGTGGTTTATATAGCGATCGAGCGGTGGTCACATCTGATTGGACGCTGAGAATCCCCCCTTCCTCGTGCGCCCCCGCCTACACGTGGATGTGAAAGCAATACACACACACACACACACACACACACACACACACACACACACACACACACACACACACACACACACACACACACACACAGGAGAGAAGAAAAGCTGCAGCAACAGGTGGGACCTCTGACTGAGCGTCCTGAAAGCACATAGTCTCTGTCAGAGCCGATATGAGGAAGAAAACGGAATACATACTCAAACATACTGACAGCCGCTGTTCAGGATCAATTGCCTCACAGAAATTAGCTGGTCTTCTTTTTAATGTGTGTTCCAGTAGCAGCATATCAAACTGCTCCACTGACATCCTGAAATACACCTGGAGGTGATCAGGATTATTTTGCAGCTACTTTATCAAAAGGTAGAAATATTTAATTTTCACTTTTTTAAATAAATGTTCAACATGTGGCTATAATTCTTAAAAATTATCATACCAAATGAATAATTCTTACATTTATGATTTATGTTTTCTTGCACCATGGCACTAACACTGAGGGTCCGACTTTATTCCTAATGGTATAAAAATTATGGAAGCCCTAAGCAAACTTACATCCACACATTTCATTTGATTCAGTTTCCCTGTGACAACACACAAAATTAAGCCCACTTATTCTCTACATTTCAATATTCTTCTAAAACCCCCCAAAAAGTGCAAATCGTCCTTCTTTTTCTTTCTCCACACTCTCCTGTTATTATGGGATGCTGTTGATCCTGCTCGGTGTTGTGCTGCCTGCAGCCTGTAACCTGTTCAGGCATGCCTCTACGACTCTGTGAAGTGTCCACACAGGGGGTTAATGACTGCTGATGTTCAAATGCACTCCCCCCTGCCACCACACACACACACACACACACACACACACACACACACACACACACACACACACGCGCACACACGCATGAATTCATTCTCTAAGTGTGAGCACTTCCACTCCCATGACACAAAATTTTACAGAAGAATCACAACAGAGCAACATACTGTAAAGGTTTCTATTTTCAGCTGCTTCATGATAAAACATTTGTTCTGTTTCACGTGTCAAACACTTTAGCACCTGTCCTGTATCATCTCTTTGTCCCATTTCTCCTCTCTCTCTCTCTCTCCCTCTCTCTCTCTCTCTCTCTCTCTCTCTCTCTCCCTCTGCCTCTCATGCTCTCTCACTCTCTCTCTGTCTTCCTCTCTCTCTCTCTCTCTCCCTCTCGTCTGTCACTGGTGCTCATGTCCTCGGAGGTATTTTGGCGTCGAGTCTTTCTGTGATTACCCTCTGGTATGTATTTTGGATAAGAGGGCTGATGACAGGCGGCTGAGCTGAAATATGAAATTAGTGCTCAGGATTTGTGAGCAGACATGGTTTTAAGGTGTGGACACACAAACGTAACCACATCACAGTGGTGAACTCCACCCCAGGAGCATTATGGGAGCCTGTACTGTTAGTAATAGGGAGTATGCTGTTTAGTCTTGAAACTCATGACATGCAAACTGGTTACCTCAGAGTTTTATTAAATCAGACTCTGTGCTTTAAATTACATTGGAGTACTACATACATTATGTCTCACTAACTTCTGAACAATTTTATCTCGTTATCTCAAGATACCAACACTGTCATGTGATATAAACATTGTCTAACCCTGCTTACTCGCTTGTGGTGAATTTTTTCTGAATATTTCCAGCTGTGTTCACACCTCAGGTCACCCCGTCTTTATGCTGAAAATTTACCAGGGGACTGATGAGAATAAAAAAAAGTAAAGGCAGGGTGAAACATTTGTCAGGCAGCTCACCTTTAACATTTTGGGGGATATTTTCAGGAGTATTGTGCATATGTAAAAAAACACTGTTAGACTTTTTCAGTTTGCATAACTTGCTGCCGATTTCTACCAAAGGACATCTTGGGTCATTGCAGCATTTTTTACTTTTGTCAGCCTCTGTAATTATACAAGATGAAGCCCCATGTGCTGCAAAAAGCAAGAATTAAAGCCACACTAAACAGAAAATGGGCAAGAAAAAGGACAATCATACAAAAGAAAAAATACAACCATAAAACAATAAAAAAGTGGAAATCCATACAAGTTCTGTAACAGATTTTAGGAAAAACCCTCCAGAGATCAAAGTGAGATCTAAATCAAAAGATATGACATCAGTCCAGGAGATAAAAGGGAGGCGATAACAATCGGTCTTTTATTTGGTTTTCTTTCATTTCAGCTCTTTGACCTATATACTGATAAAAAAGGTTTTTCATCTTTTTCATCTTGTTGTTTTAAGTCTGAATGCATTCATTTTAAAGTCATGTGAGTCCTTTGACATCTGATATTTTAACTTGCCTTCAGTTCTTTAAACATCTTGAAGTATAATTGTCTTGCTAATTGTTTTGCTTTCATCCTTGTTTTAGAGAACTGACTTTTAGCAGGGAGCTGTGAGTGAGGTGTGAGGGGGTTTTGTATTCTCAGCCCACACTGCAGCATATTTGTGTCAACAAAAGATAAAAAGCATCAAGGTTGATCCTCCTTTAGCGACAAGGGAAGAAGGCTAATGATGGCATATAATGGGAGGGTGCTGTGGAGGTGTGCTGCAACAATGTAAAACACCAGGATTCACTTGTTTCACACGGAGTCACAGCAGTATAGAGATGGACGTGGCAAAAGTATAATGCAAACTGGATGACTGAATATTCATTTTAAATATAGGTCAAATAATGCACCTATATTCTGAAAATTAAAACGTGTTTCTGTTACTGTATTTTCATTTTAAAATTAGCTTTTTCATTTGAATTATGATACAGATTTAGCGGGGCATTTTTTGAAAATGAAAAAGCAATTGTCATTTTCTTCTTCATTTTAATTTAGTCAAAGAATGTGCATTTTTGAAGTTGAAAACTAAAATTAAAATTAGATAAATGAATCATCATTTTATTTTTGAGTCAAATAATACACTCATATTCTGAAAATTAAAAAGCATTTCTGTTAATGCGTTTGAATTTTCAAATTAGCTTTATCATTTGAATTCTGATTACTAATCGCGTCCATATGGACGTGGCTTCATGTAATCATGAAACATTTAATAATCCACTGTCCTATACGCCTTCAGGTTGTCACTTTCCCTGAGGGAGGACTGCAGGTGAATTAAAATCCCCTTTGAGATGAGGAGGACAATTACAGCCACAACAGGGCAGAACAAGGCCTGAGTGGAGGATCAGAGTGTCGCTCACACACAGGCGACAATAGATGTTAGAAAGGGGTGAAAAGGAGGGGTAATAATCTCTTAGGTGTTGGGTGGGGGGCAATTATCAGGGAGAATTTGGGGTATTCAGTGGAAGCAGAGGAATGTGGTAGTAATTGAGGGCTGACGGAGGGGATGAGGGGCAGGTGAAATCAGGAGGAGGAGGAGGAGTAGGAGGTGTTTTCCGAAGGATGTCCTTGTTGACACATAAGTGAGGCCTGATTTCCCAGAGCGGGGCCTCGCCTTTTACGGAGCAGCTCAGAGGCGCATCACTTAACCCCCCGGGCATGATCCCATCAAAAGGGCAGTCATTTGGGATATCAGACAAACTTTTCAGAGCTGCCCTCAAGTCATGGTCATGTGTTTATCATTAGAGATGCTTATCACTGTCATTGCTTTAATTACTGTCTGCAGAAACAGCGATTGTTAGCAGACCATTATTTGAAGATTTTACTCTTCAGAATCAGAATCAGAATCAGAATCAGAATCAGAATCGGGTTTTATTGCCAAGTACATTTACACATACAAGGAATTTGACTTGGTGTATCGGTGCTAAACAATTAACAAGGAAATAAAACAGAACTAGCAACAACTTAAATAATACAGTATAAGAAGATATTACAATATATAAAATAGAATTTAAAAATATAAAAAAATTAAAAAAGCTGCATAAAAAACCTGCTAAGTACTCAAAATGTGCACTCTTGAAGCTGATGTATAGCAAGCAATTAAGATCACTTCACACATCTTTAACTTCAATCTTCAATCTTAATTTGTATAGCGTCAACTCATAACAAGTGTTATCTCGAGACACTTCACAAAAAGCAGGTAAAGACCTTACTCTTTGTAACTGAGATCTCTTTTATTATTTGTTTATATCTGCAGCTGCATTTGCATTTCCACTCATTAGATACTGTTTTGGCTTGCCAGCACAAGCAGCTCTAAGCCTACAGAAAGGGAGAGAGGTTGTTTTTTCTCTTATTGAAATGTAAACCTTTAAACATGTTCAGCATTTACATTCTTGTGAATGTCAACAGTATTATGAGGGGGGGGGGGGGGGCTGAGGTGGTGCCGTGAATGACAATAGTCCTGACTTCACCTCCTCCTCCCCCCCTACAGAGGAATGCCAGCTCCATATTTTTAACTCATTTAACTCACAGCAGATTTCTTTGGAAAACATGCTGGAAAATATTTAAAGCTCGATCCTTCAGTCGTTCATTCAAGCCTCCCTGCTCCTGTTTACATTCCACAGCTGATCTCAGGCGTGACATCGGATGAGTCGTCTCATTTCTGGGGATCGACGTGCACGTGTGTTAATGTGTGATAACATGTAAAGTCGGTGTGCAATGCAGAGAGAGAGACGCATATTAAGTGTTGGAGTAAAAAAACAGACGTTATGGGTGTTTACGTCTGTCCTGCATGTGACCAGTGACATGTATTAAAGGTAAGACTTTAAACTCAGAGATTATCCTCTTTTCACTCAGTGAGAAGTTGTTTTTTCTGACTCACATGCAAACCCTGTGAGTGAGAGTGAACTAACTATGCATGTTTCTTTTGAATCAGAAGATTATGAGGAAACCAGAAGGAGGACATGCTCATGTTTTCAAGAGTATGATGGAGAAAAATACTCAAGATATTGTAAGATTTAAAAGTGAAGTAAATTCATATATTTG